CCTCCTCCACCCCAACCACCCGCCCCACCTACCCCACTTTCTCACGCAATAATGTACGAGTGGTCCGGTATTCTTCAATCTTCCCGTAACTTGAACCCCAAATAATTGTTAGGGGTATTACAAGTCCAAAATAGTTGATACAAAAAACTTAAAACCAAATGTTGCATTTCATGGGATTTGGTTTTATTGAAAAATCCCTTCTTAGTTTTAGAAAAAAAGTACTACAAATGATTTTAAAATGTGCATTTTACAAGTCATGTCATGTAGGTTAGGAACGTTAAATAACTTACAAAAAACTAACAACCAAATGTTGCATTTCATGGGATTCGGTTTTATTGAAAAATCCCTTCTTAGTTTTAGAAAAAAAGTACAACAAATGATTTTTAAATGTGCATTAAACCCAAGTAATGCAAACCAAATCAGAACAAAACAGTTTTTCTGGCACCTGTCAGAAGAAAGGAAGTCAAACACAGTTTTCATTATCAGACAGGGCAAACTTAAAACTTAATGATGGTTAACTTGTTTACTTGTGGGAAGGACCGACATCACTGCACAAGGGGCACCCCCATAAGCACTCCGTCCTCTGAAGAAGCACATCTCGAAGTGTCTAGATGCTGACGGTTCCAAGTAATGGTTGAATCCATAGCCTTCTGCTCGTCCCGCTAAGTCTTGAACTTCTGCAGGCGCCCCATCCAATTCCAAGCTCAGGAAGTCGCTCAAGATGATGGTATTCTGACTCTTCTTGTTTTCTCATTTTTCCCTGACTGAACGTACAATTTCAGGTTTGTCAGGGCACAGCTTCCGTCAGGATATGCTTTCCCAGCGAGCTCATCAGCCCGCTCATTGCCCTTGACTCCAGCATGGCCCGATGTGAAGGTCCACGTGATCTTTTTCAGTGTTGTCTTCTTCAGGAGCTCTGTCCATTCAGCTCTAAGGTTCCCACTTTCAAACTTCTTCAGCGTGCTCTGAGAGTCTGTGACAAAGATCACATGTGCTTGTGCTTGTCGAGTTGTTGTGACCCATTTGCTTGAGAGCCTGAATGATTGCCTCTATCTCCATTCTCTGCTAGATGTTGTCATATCGTATGCTCTCTGCTGTTCCTGCACCAATCTGCCTCTCACTCTTGCTGAGAAGCTAACATCCAGAATATTCCCCTCGTTTAACAGATCCATCCGTGTATACAACCACATCTCCGTGCTGTGAGTTTTCTTCAATCAGTCGTCATATCTCAGCATCTGTGGCCCCCTGCGGCCACTCTCTACATTCTCTGTTCAGCGTAATTACTACTTTCCCAAAATCTCCCTGCTGTCTCTCATTCATCTTTGTCCATTTTTCACCCCGCTTTATATCTTCCAGTGGGCAGACTTCCTTGATAGTGTTTTCAGCCTCAGCCATCCAAGAAGCTCCTCGTTTTAGGCGATTTCCCTTGACTGCTCCAATGGCTTTGTGAAGTTGATGTTGCTTATCAGCCACCACCCTCATGTACGCCCTGACCTGAACCACTTTATATTGTCTGTTTTCCACTGACATGAGTCCCTATACATGCCTCATACAGATAATTGGCGTATCCCTGGTGCAGCCTAGTATGATGCGCATGGCTTCATTTTGAACTCGATCCAACTTGTCCAGTTGAGATTTTGTTAAGGTCAATACTCCGAGCCCATAATCGATTACTGCCAAGACCAGCTGCTGGTACATAAGAAGCAGTAGCCTTTGTTCCATTCCTGAAGCCACCATGACCTTCACTGCATTCAAGCCCTTCTTTGCCCTTACCACAATACCATCTATGTGATCTTTGAAGAATAGACAGCGGTCGAAAACCACACCCAGATACCGCATCTTCTGACATCTTTTAATATTCTGTCCATTTACGGTCAGCTCTGGGACATCTGTCTTTACTATTCGATTGTTTAAAGAGCACCACAGTGCTGCGGCCTTCTGAGGATTGGTCACTGCAGTCGATTCAGCACACCACTCCATGATTTTCTCAACCTCTTGCTGTAATTCATGTGTCATATTCTGCCGATCCCGTCCTTGCCTGTAGCCCAAGATGTCATCTGCAAATGCTAGTATGATGGTTAAAAAAAAGAGCAAGCAATCTGAGATAGAAGATCATGAACAGGGAGCATTTTTTATTCCTGTTAGGACTATTACTGGACATGCAAATGAAATGGAAAAACACTGTAACAGGCCATTTGTCTCCTAGTCATAGATGCAAAGCATTCATAAAATAAAAGGCTACTGAAAAATTGTAAACATGATCTGAAAAAGAAAATAAACTAATGCATATTATTATTAAGGTGAAGAAATTATTTTTGTCTGGATAGTTACGGGACAAACAGTTTAAACAGAAAATGTGCTTATCCTGAAATATTTGAAAGAAATTTGAGCAAAACTTGTGCTAATACTAAGTATCAACTTAAAACATAATGATATCGCAGATAATACTTGGAGCAGGGTATTTGAAAGTTGATGGAAAAGGAGACGTTAGGAACATTACCGAAAACGAAAGAAACCTCATGTATTCAGAATCTTATTTTCCAGTTTCCTGAAGGGCACAGTAAGATAGCTCAACCAAAAAAATAATAGTAAACATGAATAAAATGGAATTAGGAAAAGCATTATAATGAAATGTCAAAATTAACCATGAAAATCCCAAAGTGTTAGGAAGGTAACAATGGACTCGCAGATTTACTTTCCCGTTTAACTTTCCTATCAAAGATCAGATAACTTCTCATAACTCTGAGGATGCTTTGGTTGAACACTAGTGGGGATCAGTAATGTGGGGATTTTCTGTTACATTTTGAGACTGTACATGGTGCAGCATTTTAAGTAAATTGGTTTTCAAATTAGATTGCGGTTGTTACAAAGATTACATTGGACAAGATCGATGTTGTCGTCCTAAATCACATTCTTTGTTCCTAAGCCTAAGTTATCGTTTTCTTTGCAATTGCACTAAATGCCAACTGTAAATTGCAGTGTATTTAAACATTCTATGCTTCTTAAAAGTTTCATAACTTGACGAAATTCATAATAAAAAGAGAAAAAACGTTAACTGCGTGTTACCTTACGTTAGGAAAATTACAAGGCTAAGAACAGCAGACGACGCTCTGAAACAACCTGTGCAGAGCCCCTCAATTTGGTAAATGACACCAAAGCAGGCAAACAAAAGCTGATAGGAAAATCAGTTTCTAAAAATAGTGATAAGAAATTCCGTCGATGATGAAGTTAGCGCAGAAACGAAAGTGCAGGAACATTACATCTGGACGGCGCACGTACAGTGTTTCAATTACATGAAAACGCCAGAAAATCGGGCTGCAATTTTGAAAAATGGTTAAAGCGTGCCAAAACACTTAAAGTCAAACATATGAATGTAGGAGAAAACTATTTGACAAACTCAATTCAAAATGTGCTGCTGGCGTGTAAAGGACCATAGCAAAAAGGACAACGCTTGTAATGTTTCTAGCGTGATTTTTAATCTAGCCTGATCGCAACAAAATAACATTTCAGCACTTTTTTTAGGATGGGCAAAGTAGATTAACACTCGTTATCATCCAGTGCCAGATCTGCGACAGACATCGGCGATCATGGTTTTCCATTCATTCCTTTGCTCAGATACTCTCAAAAAAGCTTTGTTTCCCTGATCTTTCCCTGTTACCACTAGATTAACACTAGGTCTCCCCAAATCTTTAGTTTCAAGCCATCCCGTCTGTTTTTATAGGTGTTCAGGAGTGTTGAAAAAGTACATAATATGCATTCATGTAACAAAATCGTTCTGATTTTTAGGCCTTTTTTTCCAGAAAAAGTATTTGAGCTTTTTCAGCTAGAAAGGTGCAACCTTCGTTATGCTTATATGGGAGCTTCCTTATATTTCTATAGACCAATTGCTCCAATGTGGTTGCCATAGAATGTATTACAACTTTGAAAAACTAGAACAGGCACATAAAGTAACTAGTAAAGTGGCCCCTACTGGTGGACTGACCCATATATTTATGTGGTTTAAAAAAAAATCCTTATTGTTTCCAGGGGGCAAGCCCTCCTGTAACCCCCTACTCGACTCTCAATCAACAATGAGAAATCAGAATTCTGCACCGAAGTAGATATATGCCTAATATAGACAAACTTTCTGTTATTACGCAAGCGACCACTATGAAAAATATATAAATAAAGGGTTAGCGTTAATCTAGCATTAGGCAGGGTTTGGATTAAGGTCAAGGTTAGGATAATAAGTTCTTTCTTTCTTGTTTGTTGACTTTGGGTGGTCGCTCGTTACGGAAGTCCAATTAATCCTGTATATATGAGACTCTGTGTGAATGAACAGACCTAGGACACAAGTGGTAGATTGGTTCATGTAATTGGATAATATAATGCTCTCTCTCGGAAAGTAGATACATGCTGAGGTAAGGCGAAATATATATATATATATTATATATATTTATATATTTATATATATATATGTGTATGTGTAAAGTGAAAGCCTGCTTCGCCCTCAAGAACTTCACATATAATTGTTTTATGGAGCAGCAACTGAACAATCTGATAATTAAGCTGAGAATGAAAGTCCTCCCATGTTATGATACTATCCGGCTCTTTGACTCTACGCTTGTTGAAGGTAAACAGCTTTAAATTGAAACCCTTTCCAGCTCCTGAAATGTATGTGTGTTGTAGAATACAGGTAGTCAAATATTGTTCAAGACAGCCACCGATTTTCAAGGAGAGAACAAGTAATTGTCTTAGACAGGTTGATATCTTGGGCAGTGTCATTGAATTGTTGACATGCGGATAACTTGGAACAACAGATGTACGCCTTTGGCCGATATTTATAGTAACAGCCATCTTGTTTGACGTCATTGAGAGATTCCCACTTTGTTGTCATTTGTGGTGGCGACACGACCGCAAAGCACTATTGCAGTATTTTTAAAGCACTGTAGCCTATAGTGGCGGAGTGGTTAGTGTGCTTGTCTCCAAAGCAGAAAGTCCAGGTTCGAGCCTCGGTTCGGCCATGGACTTTTTGGGACCAATTTTTTGTATGTTTTTTAAATCCATCAATGTCACGACATCGCATGCTTTTTCAGTTATCTTATGTATTTTTTTAGAAAAAAAAAATTTGTCCTTTACTTCCCCAAGTCGAAGTCGGGTATCCATTACAGGCGGGTGGGCAGGAGGGGGCGAAAAAAAAAATCTGTGGCCGAACCGAGGCTCGAATCTGGACTTTCTGCTTTGGAGACAAGCGCACTAGCCACTCCGCCACCACACCACTGAAGGCTACAGGCTTTAAAAATACAGCAAATGTGCTTTGCTGTCATGTTGCCACTGTGAACGACAACAAAGTGGGAATCCTTCAATGATGTTAAACAAGATGGCTGTTACTATAAATATCAGCCAATGGCGTACATCTGTCATTCTCAAGTTATCCGCATGTTGTTTGTACAGGTGACTATCTAGTGTCTTGGACAGGTGGCTGTGAGAGCAAGTTTGGCTGTATTAAAAGTAGACTAAAGATATATAGCCTAGTATAAAACGTACCTGAGGTTGATGTTATAATTTACTGTAGGAAAAATAATGTCCTGTAGTTTACTAATTAGTATCAGCTCAGAAGTAAAGAATTATCAATATAAGATAATCAGTAGTAAGGTCGAAACAATACTTTTAGTAAGATAAACACTTTCAACTGTCCCTTAAGTAGACTTTCTTTTGTCTTTTTCTTAAAGGGTGTCATCCTCAATCAGTAGCTGCAGAGTGAAACAGTTGAGGACTTCTGTCATTTGACCTAGAATCGTCAAAGTCTCAAGATGGTTGCATTGGCAGCTCTCATCGATGTGCCCGTGTGGTTGGTGTTGCTGATCATAGCTGCTGTTCTGTACTACTTGTAAGTACATGATGTACTAACATTTATGAAAATGTATTCATATGATCTCACCTGATCATTCAAAAAAGGGATTGGGCAGACAGAGTGATTGAACTCTAATATTTTAGGGACATATTTGCATATGTGTCACAACTCAGAGGAATCAGGCTCTCATCAATTTTGGGGCATGTAGAGTTATTGGTATCATCGTAAAGCTTTTTCATTTTTCTTGCTTTGGATTTTTTTTAAATTTCCATTTATCTTGAACAGAAGTCGAGATATTTGTGAATGAAGGAGGTGGAGGTTACCTGGTTTCAGAGGTGAAATTAATGAGAAAACAGCTGCTAAAGATGAGTTATTTCCTTAGCTTGAGAGTCTGTGGAAACTGAAAATTTACATTTTTTGTGCTTTTAATCATGGTTTTTCAGTAAAATCCACACAGAAATGTGTTCTTTAATGGGCATGAAAGGTTTTGGGCCAAAAAACAAAAAATTCGATAAAAATTCACAAACCTACAGAAAAATGACAGTTTCTTCACTTTGATTATTTTGACAAGCGCCTGATTTCACCTCGCCGTCTCAGCAATCAGTTGAGAAGGGCTTGACATTTTCTCTACATGAGCATAAGAGAGAAGCCAAATTCTCTTACATAAAGCTTTTTTTTTTTTGTTTCCCAGATATGAGCCTCGGTCAATAACAACCTAGATATGAGCACAATTTAGTTGGGGTCTTATCTACAAAAAGAAAAAGAAAAGTGGGAACCCATTTTCAGGGCTGCCTTTCATTACAAACATGGTCAAATCTTTACAACTTTTTTCAATTTTAGGAAAACAATCATAATTATTTTCCACTGATTCTGATGTTAAAAGATTTATTTTCAGTTCAGCTAGGCTGCTGCCCCAACCCATCCACACCTTGCCGTCTTATAAGGAAGAAACGAAAAGTGATCAGGTCCTTGGAGTCTACTTCTCCCTGTCAAGTCCAACTTAAACTTAATACCCTCTATGCGCTGAGCCCTTGTAGTCGCTTAGTGTGACTTTGCCCTTAGAAAAGCATAATTTGTGCCAAAGCCGGGAGAATGTCTAACATTAAGTTTCACATTGTGTTTAAAAACTCCTGCACTTTGAGTTTCGGGTGATGGCCCAGGCCAATGAGAGACAAACAAAAAAAGCCATGCTATCGTTTTAAATAAAACAATCAGCTGCGGTACAAGGCATGTGATGTGTCCTTTCGGTTTCTTTTGTTTCTGAAAAAGTCATGGCGAGAGCCCAGTAACTGCCCCCACTCCATTTTTTTATCCCAACTGGATAACGGCAAGCCCACCAAGACCTCTTTCATCTCTCCTTTGTTATGTTACATTCATCCTTGAACTTACGACCCCTGTACTTGATAGACCAGGGGAGTAGACTGACCATGGCCATATTACAAATTTTTTAGCCAGATTACTCTTTTTTTCCTTGCTGATTACTAAAGCATATATTCTTGGGATGAGCAGCCCTGTTTATGCCTTCGTCATTTTCCAGCCCGGCTATTCATGTGCTTGTCCACGAATGTCAAACGCAAGGTCTGCAGGCCGCCTCACACCCGTGGAAAATTATATCTCACCCACAAGAGAATTTTAGACAGTCTGTCCTGAGAATATTAACAAAAATCCTTTTATATGATGCGTGCTGACAAAATGAGTTACTTCTCGCAATCTGCAAATGGAGATATGCCTCTGCTAATGGCCAAAAATGGACACCAGGATCAAATTTATAGTTTTTTTATTGATGCTATATATATTATTTAAGTATAATATGTCTTTTATTATTTCATACTTATAATGTAAAGACTTCTATAAGCGAGATGTATCTGTTTCCATAGGGTTTGAGTCCAAGAAGTAACTCATTTTGTCAGTACGCTTGACATATTCCAATTTATATTAGCGATCTTATTGCAAAGAAAAGTCACCACAAACACCCGGCTCTGACATATATAATTGGCATAATATAAGCACAGATTGATATGCCTTCATTCATTATTATTTTAACTTCTGTTTGTTCAAATTCAGTTAAAGCAGTTTCAATCCTGTATTCTTTGAACGGAATGTGTTCCCCTCAGCTTTATTCCTTGTTAAAAAAACGTTTGAAGAGACATTGGACTGGTTTGAAAATATGATCACATAGCAGGAGATGTGTTACATATAGATCCCATCTCTTTCTTTTTTTTACTCCACAGATACGCCACACCTTTTGGAGTGTGGTCAGGTCTTGGTATCCCAGGGCCTAAACCAACGTTTGCTGTGGGAAACGTCCCCCAGCTGTATGACACTGTCAAGGGCGTTCGCTGCGTCATTGACAGCTGGGTACAGCAATATGGACGGACATTTGGAGTTTACTATTTTCGGAAACCGCTGTTAGTAGTGACTGACCTGGAACTTCTGAAGCAAGTGTTTGTCAAAGATTTTAACCACTTTACTGACCGCTGGTTCCATGGAGAAGGCAAACTTCAGCAGCCTATGATTAAGAAAGGTCTTTTCTTTGAGTTTGGAATGGACTGGAAGAGAATACGTCGAATCATGACCCCTACATTCAGTAGTGGAAAGTTGAAATCGCTTGTACATCATATGAACAATACTGGCAGGAATCTTGGGGAAAGCATGGCGACCTACGCCGGAGATGGGAAGTTGGCCGATGCAAACACAGTATTTGGGGCGTTTGCGTTGGATGTTATTTGTGGTACTGCATTTGGTTTGGAAGTAAATTCCCAGAATAATTATGAGATCCCCATTATTAAGCATGCGAAGAGTCTTATGACTTTTGAAAAAGATGTTCAGGTTTTGTTTACATTAGCAGGATTATTTCCTTTTTTGGTGCCAATTTTGCACAAGTTGGAAATTGGGTTGTTCAAAAGAAAGGATGTTAATTTTTTTAAGCGTACCATTTCAGCTTTGATTGCTGAGAGGAAAGCAGCACCCACCCCCGATGATTATGCTGATTTCTTGCAACTGCTCTTAAACGCTGAAGCTGATAGTTCAGTAGAGGATCTTGGGGGTTCTAAAAAGTTGACAATTGATGAAATTACCGCACAAGGTGTCTTATTTATCATTGCTGGCTATGGCACCACCTCTTCTACCCTACAATTTTTGTTTTATGAGATCGGTCGACGGCCAGATATCCGAGAAAAAGTCATGAATGAACTTAACGAGCACATTGCAGAAATGGCTGAACCAACATACGAAGACTGTCAAAAGCTAAAGTACATTGAGGCTTTGATCAATGAGACCCTCCGATGCTACCCACCCGTCCACCTACTATCTCGAAATGTTGACAGTGAGGTAAAAATTGGTTCGTTCACCATCCCATCGAATGGTGGTGTTTTAATCCCCATTGCAAATATTATGAAGGACCCAGAGCACTTCCCTGACCCTGACAACTTTATGCCCGAACGTTTCCTTAACGATGACAAACAGGCGGCAAATATCATATCGTTTCTGCCTTTTGGTTTTGGTCCGCGGCAGTGCATTGGGTTGAGACTAGCCATGTTAGAACTGAAGATGGCTGTTGTCCATATGCTGAAGCATGTGGAAGTGGTGGATTCCGAGCCAGAGAAACTCGATTTGGAAGATTACCTGGGTGTGCTGGTTCCCAAAGAGCCCATTAAACTCAAGATGAAATTAAAATAGCTTTGGTGGCCGGGTCGTCTGGAAATTGTAGAAGAGGTATTCCGTTAGTTCAAAAACTGTCAGGTATTTTCTGTTAACTCAAAACTATCAGGTGCTTCTGTAAACTCTCAGGAATACTGTCTGATCTTGAAATAGTTGGATTTTGTTTTGTTTGTTTAAATCTAAAAAGACTTTAGTTAAAGTTGGGAAAAAATGATGAGTCCTTATTAGCTGCACTTTCTCCAGATAATGCTCTTGATGTTCATACATGATGTATGTCATGGTACATCTTTTAATTGACAGCTTCATTTTACTCTTTTTTTAATTTTACCAAATTTGAAGTCTTGTATCTGATAATGACAGCTGCGTTTTACTCTTTTTGATTTGAATTAATTTAATTTTGTGTCTTGTACATGATGATTATCACATCTGCTTTTTCGAGTTTTTCATTTGACCTTATTTTGAATCTTGTACTTTTTAATTTTTTTCTGCTTGTATTATCAGTTACTGTAACTATGATAATGATAGTTCAGTAGTGGATGAAGAACAACATCATGTACTTTTGGAGTACATGTTTTTCTAATGACCTACTGCAAGCCTACCAAAATGCAGTATAGTGTGCATTCACCTTGTCTCGGTGTTTGGAGTGAAACGGGCAAAAGATAAAGTTGTTGTGGGATGACCAAAACTACACGCTTATCTTATCATTTTCTATGAGGGATGTTTGATTAAAAAATGAAAGGTCTGAAATGTTTACAAAGGGAAAAAAAATTTCTGAGAACGCAGCTACTTTTTTTTCTGAACTGTAAGTGTCACCCTGAAGGTTATGTTGTCTCACCACTCACTCCATGTTGAGAAATGAAAAAAAGTACTCCCAAACAAATAATGAAAGAGTATTTGGGAGAAGAAACTATGCCTGCAGCTACTAGAAAACATGATGGGGCATTATACGCTGAATGAAGGAATAGCTTTACTTTTTTTTATGAAGTTAGTTTTTTTTGTTGTTTCTAAAAATTATTTATTTAAAAGAATTTTTTATTTTTATGGTAGAACTTAAACAACACCTTGTTGAGTTTTTTTAAAAAACTAGAAATGACAGATTTACTCTCTAATGTTAACCTTTTTTTTTTTTTTACAATTTTGAAGAGTGGAGGGCCATTTGAATGCCGTGTGATTTTTATGATATATTCGTCTTATTTTTCTCAGCTACGACCCATTGTAAAACTAGAAGACATTGAATCTAAAATCATTGAGGTAAATATAGCAATACTTTGCCCTTGACGGTTACAAAACATAGAGATCAAACATGCACCTAAGAAATATCCACTCTGTATTTCCTGGTTACACCATGAATAGCTCAAGGGCTGATGACTCTAGAATAATAATAATAATAAATAGCATTTGTATAGCACATATCCTGGCTCGACAGCAAGCTCTATGCACTTTACACTATGTTATAACCCCAGCAGACCGTTGAGCACTCAGAACGAAGCATTTTCAGCTTCCTGGGAAGTACGAGCAACTAATTCAGCGCTCAAAGACTAACAAAATGACAAAATCTTTGGCTGTCTATTGCTGGGTACCCATTCCCACCTAGGTGAAGTGAGGAAAATTCGTATAATAGAGCCTGACCACAAGGTCATTGACGCCACCATATATCGAAGTACACAGATGGCCTTTCAAGAAATTATCAGTCAACGGGCTCTATTAGTTCCCCCTGCCATATTGAAATTGGAAGCGTTATGAATGGTTATGTGATATCATTGTATTGTGGCTGTAGGCGTGCCTAATAATTAGTGCTGTGAATATTGTATAAAAAAATAAATGTTACTGATAAACTTACTTTTAAGAAAAAAATATTTGCACACTGTATTCTAATAGCAAGAATTGAGACTTTGTGCTTGAATGGTGGATGAAGTTGTGTTCCTGAAAATCGCACAGCACTGTTATGACCAAAAATGATGCAGCTCTTAGAAAGTCGAGCTTCCAATTCTCTCTGTAGTGTAATGCACGTTTGTGTTAAAGTGTTCAAGTGGGTGGGAAATAATCATTTTTTTCCCCTTGAATGTGCTTTCTATAAGTTTTCTTGCTTTTAAGGTTTGCTTGTATTCAACAGCTTTTTAAGGTTTGCTTCATAGATTCAACAGATCGCTTGGGTTTTTATTTTTTTAGTTATTTATTTTAAAATCTTTTTACAGTTCATGCTTCCCAAGTTAGTTTACTTTGACATCTGAGGTGTTGCGGTTAGCTGCTTCACATTGCACACTGGAGACCCAAAGTCAATTCCTGAGTGGGGAGAATTTTTATTGAAATTTTTAATTGAGTATTTTGATCTTTCTGCTGGAATGTTGTATTCCTCTCAGTACGTATATATATATATATATATATATTGACAAATATGTGTCACGACATGGTGGAATCAGGTGCTCGTCAATTTTTTGATATATGGAGTTATTAGTATTATTTCAAAGCTTACTCTTTTGTCTCGCATTTGGCAAAAGAATACCCCTTCATCTTGAGCCTAAGTCGAGATATTTGCGATTGAAAGGTGGGATGGCCTGGTGTCAAAGGTAAATTTAGCCGAAAATGGCCGCCAAAGTTTGTTAACTTCGAAAGCTTGAGTGTCCTTGGAAGCTAGAAATTTGCATTTTTTGTACCTTTGAACAACAATTTTCAGTGAAATCCACACAGAAATTTGTTTTTACAGGGACATAAAAGGTGTTGAGCCAATTTAAAAATTGTCCAAATATCAGAAAATTGCAGTTTTCTTTGATTTCAATATTTTGATAAGCGCCTGATTTCACCTCGCTGCCTCTCACATTCAAGATGTTTTTATGCTTGAAATATCTTACCTTACCAAAGTGTTTGTTAACTTTTATGTTGTTGGTAGAAAATGTGATATATTTGTGAGACCAGATTGAGATTGAAAAATGTATCCCTGCCCACTGTACAACACAATTTTGTTTTGGTGTGAAGTTTGGATGAGGGGTGGTGATACACTATAAAATGTCATTTTCCTTTCTTTCTTTGGTACACATCTAAGTACTTATACACATAGAACCCACTGGCTTCTTCTGACTTAATTAAAGCTAACTGTCTGCCAGCTTTTCAGATGATATTTTGAAAAGAAATTTAAGTGTAGTTTCTTAATCTGTGATATTTGTTGCATTTTGTGCTCGAGAAATATTTTCTAAGATTTCCAAGTTTTACGTGTCTAAAAAAGAGAGAAAGACACATAATTCTGATACACATTAGCTTGCTAACAAAAAGGGCCTCAGTGGTTTGAATAGTTTATACTCTCAAATTCATGTGGAATGTCAAGTAAGGTTGATATGACAGCTTTATTTAAAATCTAGAGAAATGATTGCTGGGATTGCAATGGGGCGACCCTTGGTGGTGTGTAGTCTTTGTCATTGCTTGTCCTTACTCTGGTAAGTTTACTAATGTCAGTGTGCGAAGAAAAAAAAACTCCTGTTGTAAGAGATCTGTTAAGTTTTTACTCTCTGCTTTTTAACAGAAGACAATATCTTTAATATATTGTTATTTCGTTGAAAATTAAATATATCCTTTAAATATTGAAGTCCTCTTTGTGTGTCTTTTTATTTAGTTTCTTTGGTTTTGTTAAGTTTTACAGGACTTACAGCGCATTAGTTTTATTAATATAAATGGGTATTATGAGTGTCGATGATTAAAGATTAGATATAGTATATATATATATATGTATAAAGAAAATTTTTGCATTTTTCTAAATGGCAGTGAACCTAATTAAACTTTAATTTTCATAATATACAGACTTCAACTAAAGTTAAGGACCACTTTGACAGACAGTCCTGATTTTTTTTTAAACCCTAAAAAAGACAGCAAGGAATGTTTCTAATTTTTTGCTCTGAAAGTGTTAATGGGTTACCAGTGCATACTGCATAACTTCCTCAAGTGGCAAGACCACCACGTGCAGCACGGAAATCCTAGGGGAATTTCAGCCAAATTTGCTGTTTTTTATCGACTTGTGTGCGACACCACGGACGTTCCTTGGTTAAAATTTCTGGTGCAAGTCATAAACGGACGTACTGTCTCGAACTGTACTCACTTTGGTGACAATATAAGCCGCCGTTTGAGCAAAATCCAGTATCGCATCAACATACCACCAAGACGAAATCTGAGAGACTTTGATTTTGATCGTGCCAGAGCTAAGGCATGGCTGCAGGATGTAGTTGAGAGTCCGAGAAGTTGCCAGACGCCTTGCAGTGTCACACTCACTGTCATTGTCCGCTTGATGTAGCACCTTCAAGCCACTGGATCAGTCCAAGAACGCCCACGTGCAGGACGACCCAAGAAGACCACTCAGTGTGTTTGCAAGTGGTACTTAACTTATGTTGAAGTCTGTATGTTCATTTACCTTTAAATATTGTGTGTTATTAATTAAACCTCATTACAAAGATTCTACATGCATCATTTCAGAATGCATGCCTCTTTCTGAAACACTGCTGTATTGGCTGGGACTGGTGATAGAGAGTGCACGAAAATGGCTGGGGCCGGAAAGTTTAAAGTATGAGGAAAGGAGGAGCAAATCACACCAGGAGGCTCTCGTGGTCTAGAGGTTAAGGTGTTCTCCTCTAATTCAATGGGTTCCGGGTTCGAATCCGGAGATCGACAGAAAATTTTCTCCTTTTACGCTCTCTAACAATGTTCTGTCGTCTGCTCTCGTCTCTACTTTTTGCCCCCACCCCCTCACCTTCTTTGCCCGCACCCCTGGGCTCCTGACTCTTTTTGCAGCAGTAGTAATCTACTGCTACTTCTTGGCTCCTTCTTTCTGCTGTCTTTCAGCCACACCCCTGATCTCATGGTTGGTAAGATCTACACCTTGCCCTCTCGGATAATGGTGAAAAGTCTCGGAGGTCCCGTGGGCTGGTTGCTAACATTAGAGATCATCTATCTCTTGGAGGTCCAAAATCGATAAGAGTAGGCTTTGACCACCATCTGGGCAAAATTCAAAATTTCCTACCAACTGACAATGCTTAAATGTGTCCCTCGCTCTCATATGACCTTATGCAGTTGGGAGCACCGCAAAACAATTACCAAAAAAAAATATTTAAAAAATCACACCAGAATACCTGCCAACCACCCACTGTTATTTTGTTAACTGCTACAAAATGCATAGGGAGTGCGTCACGCCACTTACAACGCTTAATAAAGATGACTTTTCATTGCAGATACATTTCCACGTTGCTGTTGTAAACGGAGTGACATATCGTTTTTTAAGGTATGTTTAATTATTTTGGATACATCACTTTACAGAGAGAGCAGGAGGCAAGAATTGACCACATCATGGATGAGACAGTCTGATCAGAACATCTAGCACTATTTTGATCTCTTACAAGACCTTGCCACAACAATGAAAGTGGGTGGACATTATTATTATACACTCGTATAATTTTATATATATGCTGAAGACGAGAAAAGTTATTACAAGAGAGCACACACAAAGAAAAGAAGCAAAATAAAGGAATACATGTGTATATGGATGTTTGATTAGAAAGAAGTAAACCACACCACAGCACTCATCAACCAACCACCAACTGTTTTTGTTGTTGCTGTTATAGATCAAGCAACAGCTGGGCCCCTCGCCCTTTTGTCCAATGTAGTGATAAGGGCAGGTTTGCAGCTGCGTACATTAATACTTTGAAAAACGAGAAAACAATGAGAAAGAGAAATAAGCAAAAAGAGAGAGGTAACACACTAATACACGTAGTGATAGTCACAAGTATAACATACATACAGAGCATGGAATGGGCAAAACAAAAATGCTGTGGAAAATTACACTGAAAATGAAAAAACAAGAGGACTGTGAAAAAGAGAAATGAGCGAAAAAGAGAGAGAGAGGGAACATTTCCAAGGACACTGTCACAAACACAGCATGCATACAGAGCTTGTGATTGGATGAAGCAATTAATAATGTTAATAATTACTGGAAGAATCACACAGACCAGCTCAGAATGTCAGATCATTTAATTCATTTTTTGCAACAACTGGAATGTAGTACAATAACATTAACAGCAGTATTGAAATTTTGTACAGTGTATAACAAACAAAAAGTAAATTTTGAAAACAAGCTTATCCATTCTTTTTCAAATGTATCATTTAATTATAGGCTTTTTTTATATTTTCTGTAAAGACTGGAAGACTCATGTAGGATATTCAAAATGATGTAATAAATATGAACGGATGGATTAAAAAAACAACAAAGGAAAAACAGATTGTCATTCTTCAACAAGTAAAATAAATAATCAATGTACTGACTCACTTTGAATCAAACAACCACAACAAGTAAAAAGAAAACAACCAGGTCATTTGATTGTTTGTTTGTTTGAGTAAAAGAAGCAAATGGACAAAATAACGTCCATTTCATGCTGGGAAAAAATAAGACAGGCAGACAAAAGCAACAGAGAAAAAGTGAGAAAGGAAAGGTAGGGCCTACCAAGGCCGCCTTCTAACCATCCACAAGAAGGGTCACTCACACCAGTTATCTGAATCAGAATAACTAGCACACAGCACCAAGGTATCACCAGAGGAAGGCTCATTATCAATTATCGCAAGTCTTGCATTCATAAACATAACTGATAAACGAATTGAACTTTGTAATTTGCAGAACTTATTTAGATACATATCAGTGTAGGTATGTAATTACATTTGAACCTGTTCACTAACGGCTAACTGTCTAAGACGATCATTTGTACAAATGACCACCTCCCAGTACCTCTTTGCGTTATTTTTTGTTACTATGATGACTACGCTGTCCTAAAAGTCCACCTGTCTAAGACAACCACTATTCTCTTCAACAATGGATGGGCGTCTTGGGCAAATTTTGACAGTGCAATTACATTTTACCTGTGTATGTTGTAGGCCTACTTGTGCAGTAGCAAAGAAAAATCCATCAGATGCTGCTTGGACCAATTTTGAGAATTGCTGAGCTGGTTTTCTCTGAATCAAAATGTAGAAAGATAATATTCATAACTTTCGGAACAGTCTGAGGATTGGAAAAACCTTAACGTCAATAAAAGGAATTTGCTGCCTGTATAAAGGGTTCCCCTGCCTCTATATATAGACGTAGACAAGGTATACCATCTGCAATACACTGCTTTTTCAAAAACATTTATGCTCAGCCTTCATAAATTTAAATAGAAAAATTTATTGTCTCCAAGAAGAAGGCCACTGACATAAGGTCCTTCTTCTCAAGACAGAAATAATATTACTGGAATTGATGTAACAACGGCCCCAAACACTTGCAAAGGAAAGGGGAGAGGTAAGAGAGATATTTTTGTTTGCTCACGTAAAATCTTTACACAAGGTTCGTTTTAGGTGAGATGTGATGCTCCGCTCATTTTCAGGGGTTTTCTTTCAAAAATCATTTGGCATCCCTGAATTTGATTACAGACAATGTATACAAATGTATTATGCTCATCGACTAGGTAACAACGCTTGAAATAAAATCAAACTTGTGAATAAACCAATAATCAATCACACCACAAGTCAACACTATACATTCTAGTTATGAACTTGCCAAAAAATTAAGACTCTTGGTCTTAAAAACAAAAACTAAATATGACCATTCTCTGGTTAACTACAAACCAATTCACATGGAAGGATGAAACACTGTACAATAACAGTTGTATAACAAGAAATAAACTGCTTATTTACTCACCAACATTGGTGGCCATGTAAATACATTCAAACCTGCTCTAAGGACCGCCTGTCCAAGACAATCACTAGTACAAACTACAACAACATCCCCCCTTGCATTTTTTCATTTAATTATTATGACATTGTCCAAAGTGACAACTTGTCTACTCGACAAAGACTTTTACTTCACTGATGAAGGTAAATTGCAATTTTCATCAGCACGAAAAAATGCATAATATTATTAAATCAATCCACAATCAAGTTTTAAATATAAACAGTTATAATAATTGCGCCACGACGCAGTGGAATCAGGCACTCGTCAATTTTTTGGCATATCACGAAGTTATTGGTATCATCTTAAAGTCTGTCCATTTGCTTTGCTTTCTATGAAAACAATACCCCTTTATCTTAAGTTGAGATATTTACGATTGGAGCAAGTAGGGTTGCCTGGTTTGGGAGGTAAAATTAGCCAGAAAATGGCCACCAAAGTTTTGTTATTTCCTTAGCTTGAGAGTATGTGGAAACTGAAAATTTACATTTTTTATGCGTGAGCTGAAAAACAAAAATTCGTTTAAAATTCCCAAACCTATGGAAAAATGCCAGTTTTTTTCGCTTTCATTATTTTGACGAGTGCCTGATTTCACCACGCTGCCTCACAATTTCCAATCATTTTTTCTTTTGGCATGACAAAAAAGTTGAGATCTATTATTTTAAGAAAACAGAGCATAGGCCAATATAACGCCTCAACATGTCCTTCAGTAATCAATAATTTCTGCATGAAAAGTAAGCTCCTGTGACTGATATTTGAGGAAAATAAATGTTAACAATATTATATATATATATATATGTGTATTTTCTCTTTTTTTCTTATCTTTACTTTCCAATATTGTGGAAATAACGCAAAAACCTGAATGCCGGCACTTTCTAAGAATGTCTTTCTCTTGCATCAATCTGACAGAAGTAGCTAGGCCTGATTCAGTATGGTCAAAACATCCTTGATTCTTGAGGGGTGGGGGGGAAAGCACGGGAGCGGGGGAGGTTGAGGGCATCAAGTGTCTGAAAATTTCGGGACCTGACATAAATAGAAAAAAAAAAATCACTCACAGACCGGTATAAAACTGTTTCCAGCTTTCCAGGCAGGAGGGAAAGACTGTATGGTCATCCCAATAATTTGATATTATGTTAAAAAAAAAAAAAAGAAAGGAAAAAAAACCCTTCTCAATCCTCATTTGTCCACGGCTGCCTATGTTGGTCTGGATAACTCTCTAGCTCACGTAACTGACAAGTTCCAAAACCAAAACCAAAAATAAAACCAGACTAAACCTAAACGCTGGGTCAAGATGGTGGGGAGTAAAAAGTAAGTGTATGGGTTTAATACTATCAGGATATGTAAGAGGTGGCACCTCCAAATTAAACGTCTGTCTCCGACATGGCCGAGCCAAATGAGTTGAGAGCCCAGAAAACTCCACAAAATGATCCGAGTTCAAGAACGCCAATTCTGGGATTCGAACCAGGACCATCTGCTCTGTAGTCTAGCACGAAATGAACTGAGCCAACAGAGCATCCATGGTGGGGATAGGCTTACTAACCAGCCTTCAAATGGTATCCTTCATACACAATTTCCTACATTCAATAAACTCAAGCTATTCAGAGTAGACCTGCAGCAAAAGGTCTTCTCCAATTGACTTAAGAGCATTGTCCACATTATTTTTCAAAAATTCATTCATGAATGTTCCGAATTTTTCTTCAGTATCGGCAAGTCCACGGGAAGCAAAACTAAAAAACAGAGATTATGTATTTTCCAATAGGAAAGCAGATTACTGTGCTTAGACCCTCAAAAATGTATTACGGTGGAGGTTGCCTTAAACCAGTTTATCTAGAGGGCTGCCAGGTTTTCTAAGGTTTACCTTTGTTTTCTATTTTGAAAGATTGTTCAAATATAAAAAGAAAAAAACGGGGAATCTATTTTCTTTACGTTTACCTCTGTTTCCTCATTAACCATGTCCATTTTAAATAGACTAATACATTTTCTACATACTAGTTGGCAGCTGAGTTCTCATGACCACCAGGGCGGCGCCCACGGCACTCCCCACGGCCTCCTGACCCTCGGGGTTCATCACAACCTGCAGGGACTCCCCGGAGTACAGTTCCTCCAACCTCCGCCTCACTATCGAATTCCTCACGGGCACCGAACCCGAGACCAAAAGACGAGAAATGCCTTGGCTCACTAAAAACTTGGCAGAGATCATACTGTGAAGGTGATTCAAAAGGCCTTCAGACGCCGCTCGGAAAATCTTGCCGACACTGGCAAAGTTGCTGCCGCTCAGGCCGCCAATGTGTCCCCGGAGGGAAGGGTCGTGGCGCTCTCCAAAGAAGGCTGGGGAGAACTGCAAGACGTCCGTGCCGTCCTCAGCTGAGGCTTCACCATCAACACTGTCGCTCTCTGCCAGTTCTTGAAGCTTGAGCAAAAGAGCTGGTGTAGAAATGTCTTGTGCAAAACCTAGAGACAAAGACATGGAATGATCAGTAATTACGTCTGTTTTCAGTTTTAGTCAGAGTTTTACGGCACTTGCCACACAATAACTTATAAGGTCATAATATTATAAGTGCCGAAAATTACAGGTTTTACAAGAAAGTAAAAAACACAAAAAAGAAGCAGGAGAAATCAGGACAATAGATGCTTGATACGAAAGAAGGAGCAAATTAAACCATAGTACCAGGGCACCCTGCAACTACCCTGGAATAATCAGTACTTACTCGTGGGTCAGTAACTTTAGCGGCCTATAATTGGCGGTAGGAGAACAAGGCCAAGCCTAAGTTCTAACAACACAGTACAGATGGTGATGAAGAGAGAATAGGGAGAAAAGGTGCTACTCACCCAGGGATACTATCCACGCGCCCAAACACTCGGCCAGATATCCCAGAGCGTTCCCGCCGTTGAGGCCAGCGCACAAGGCAAGGAACTGACCCTGGAAGTACGGGAAGAAGGCTAGGCTTGGTGGACATGAAGGCGTCAGACTGGCCACGTCCTCAGGGGACATCACAAAGCCCAGCTGGATGGAGGTGCTGATGTTGATGGCTGGGGGAACAACCCACAAAATGAAGTGTAACTCTCACTTTTTTATACACTCATCAACGTAATCTGCTCGTGTAAGTGTTGGGTTTTTTTTTTAAACTTTAGTAAGAGTTTTGCGGCACTTGCAACACAATGAGGTCATATAAGTGCCGAAGATTAGCGAGGTGTTACAAGAGAGTAACAAGCACAAAAAGGGAGGGGAGATAGAGACGATAGAAGGAGCAAACCACACCAGAGCTTCTGCCAACCACCCACGAGTGTTTTACGCCACTTGCAACACAATTTGATCATTATATAAGTGCCGAAGATTAGAGGTATTTCAAAAGAGTAACAAACACAGAAAATGACGGAGGAGAGATAAGGACGATATATAGATGTTTGATAGGATAGGAGGAGTAAACCACACCAGAGCACCCACCAACCACCCACTAAAAAAAGTCATAATACATACGTGCCGAAGATTAGAGGCGTGTTACTAGAGAGTAACAAAAAGAGACAAGAAAACGTCTCCGTCAACGTAATCTAGGTACCAAAAAAAATTTAAAAATACAATCGTACTTATCAAAACAACCACCCATTGTAGGGGACAAACATGATACGTGAGGTATCGTGGTGAAATCAGACGCTCGTCCAAATGATGAAATCAAAGATATCGACATTTTCCCTCCAGTTTGACCGTTTTTCTCTATTTTTTGTTTGTTTTTTTGGCTCAACAGAATTTATTTCAATTTAAAAACACATTTCTGGGTGGATTTTACTGAAAAGCGTTGATTAAAGGCATTACAAATGCAGGCCTAAATTTTCAATTTCCAGGGACTTTTGAAATAACCAAACTTTTGCGGCAAATTTTCTCACCAATACATGTATTACCTCTGGAAAGAGGCGACCCCGACCTCTTTCAGTCGCTAATATCTTGACTTCTATGACACGGGTGTATTTTTTTTCATCAAAGGATGTTCAAAGGAAAAAGCTTTAAGATGATACCAATAACCCCATATACCCAAAAAATAGATGAGCACCTGATTCTACCGCGTCGTGACACATATGGTCATTTTAGACAGGGGGTCCTTTTAAACAGTGTCATTATAATATATCACAATAATTATTTGTGTAGCAGGCGATAATGCCAATACAATACAGTACCCGCCGACCTCAGAGATATCGTCCACTAGAGGGTTTTAGTTTTAGGAAGAGTTTTACGGCACTTGCAACACAATACGGTCATTTAAGTGCTGAAGATTAGAGGTGTTACAAGAGAGTAACAAACACAAAAAAAAGGAAGAGAGATCAGGACGATAGATCATGTTTGCTAGGAAATAAGGAGCAAACCACACCAGAGCACCCGCCAACCACCCGCCTCCTTGGGCGATGTGTTGATTTTGGTGGGCGGTGAGGATCACCCGAGTAGTGACATGTAGTACTTGATGCAGCACGTGGAAATACACGTAGGTGGGCGGCACTTTGTCTGTTTGTTTGTTTGCTTTTTTGTACGCTTGTTTGTTTGTCTGTTTGTCTGGGAGTAAAGAGACGCATATCGACACAATAATGGTCATTTAGTTTTGGGAAAAAGACAGACAGACAGACAGACAGACAGACAGACAGACAGACGGACAGACAGACGGACGGACGGACGGACAGACGGACAGATGGACGGACAGACGGACGGACAGACAGACAGACAAACAAACAGACAGACAGACAGACAGACAGACAGACAGACAGACAGACAGACAGACAGACAGGCAGAATGAGGGTGAAGAAGTCAGTAGCGCCCTCCAACCTTATAAAGAAAGGTGACAAAATGGGACGCGGTCTATTTTATTTTAAAGGCTGACATGAAAAGCACAGGTGTCATATTATGTAATACATCACATACCTATTCCACTTTATCATAACCTCTTCAAACAGCCTTTTAAAAAAATTAGTAGTGGATTTTGTCTTTTTTTTTTTTTTGGGTCTTCGCCTCTTTCAACAAATGAATGACCGTCGACGGTAATGTTCTCAAGAGAGATCAACATTGTTTACGACGAGATAAACCCTTGTCCAGGCGTTGCCCTGAGGCAGGGGGCACATAGATTAAGCAGCGCTGTATACAAATATACTAGACATATTCAGCTCTAAGTACATAATTATGTCCTGCTATGTATGTGTTCTCCTTGTCTATGCACATTATCTCACCACTACATCATTATGTGCTGTAGAGGTAAGTCATTATCCATCATATTATTATCATGACATTATGTAATATAATATTATCATATATGTATATGTAAGAGAGAGAGAGAGAGAGAGAGAGAGAGAGAGAGAGAGAGAGAGAGAGAGAGAGAGAGAGAGACAGACAGACAGACAGACAGACAGACAGACAGACAGAGACAGACAGACAGACAGACAGACAGACAGACAGACAGACAGACAGACAGACAGACAGACAGACAGACAGACAGTGAGGGGGAGACAGAAAGGGGTAGAGATAGACAGAGAGAGATAGACAGAGAGAGATAGACAGAGAGAGAGAGAGAGAGAGAGAGAGAGAGAGAGAGAGAGAGAGAGAGAGAGAGAGAGAGAGAGAGAGAGAGAGAGAGAGAGAGAGAGAGAGAGAGAGAGAGAGAGAGAGAGAGGGGAGATTGATTCACCAGAAAAAAATAGGCCTAAATAAAGAGATGGCGTTTATCCAGTCTAACAAGCCGTAAGGAAGTTAACAACTCGAAGATACAAGTACAATTAATGTACATGTCCTGGGACTAAACAAGCGTTCCGATTCTATCTCTATTTCTGCGCGTCGGTTGTGACTGTCTGTGTCTCGTGCTCTTTGCACGCAATGAGGTTTTAATAAAGTTGTAAGGTCCTTGTTTGCACGAGTATCTCCGTCTTCCCGCTAGGACTAGGATGTTGCAATCCACTCAGCCCGGGCTGGCCTGGACAGGCAGCGGGTCGAAACAAGATGGTTTGTTTTATTTTGTTTGGGTTTTTAAAGTTTTAATAAGTGTTTTACGGCACTTGCAACACAATAAGTTCATACAAGTGCCGAAGATTAGATGAGTTACAGGAGAGTAACAAACACAAAAAAGAAGGGGGAGAGATAAGGACGATAGATGTTTGATAGGAAAGAAGAAGCAAACCACACCAGAGCACCCGCCAACCACCTACGGATGGTTTGTCTGAGTAAGCGTTTTACGGCACTTCCAACACAGTTAGGTCATATAAGTGTCACGAAGATTATAGTTCTTTAAAGAGAGTTACAAACACAAAAAAGAAGGAGGGAATATAAGGACGATAGAGATGTTTGATGGGAAATAATTTAAGGAGAAAACCACACCAGAGCACCTGCCAACCACCCATCGAAGAAAGGATGTTTTGTTTGAGTAAAGAGAAGCACGTCGACACAATAATGGCCATACGGTGCAGGGGGAAAAGCAAGACAGACGGATAGAAATAGAAACAACAGCGGGAAAGAAAAAAATAGGATCAGCCAGTGACGCATTCCAGCCAACCCCCACCAAAGTTATCTAAATTGGGTCGGTGGCGGCGTAAAATATTTATTCTCATTGTAGGCTTAGTGTTTGTTTGTTTTGTTTTAGTATAAGTTTTACGGCGCTCGCAACTGCATAAGGTCATATGAGCGCCGGAAGATTAGAGGTGTCACAAGAGAGTAACAAACATTAAAAAGAAGGAGGGGAGATAAGGACGATAGATGTTTGATAGGAAAGAAAAAGCAATTTGTTTGTGTACAAAAATGAACAAGACTGACGTATCTCGTACGTCACTGCGACGTCAGTATATAATCACGTGACTCTCGGCACTCCAGGGTCGCCGGAGGTTACCCAAAGCTGATATGGACCTACTCCTAGACGGTCAGAGTACAACAACGTATAGACCTACTCCGATAAGTGGGCTACAAATACAAGGGGGTTATTATAGTCTAAGGTCTTGGCAGGCTACGTGTAAGTCGTACGTGTGTAAGTGTATGGGATTTTTTTTTTAAAACAACCTTATCAGCACTATCAGAGCTAACATTTGTACGGGATAAAGTGCTGCATTATACATTTTAATGAAAATTAATGCAATATAATAATAATAATAATTATTATTATTGTTGTTGTTGTTGTTGTTGTTGTTGTTATTATTATTATTATTATTATTATTATTGTTGTTGTTAAAAATTGTTGTTATTATTACTATAATAATAATAATAATAATAATAATAATAATAATAATAATAATAATAATAATAATATTAAATTATTATTTTTTTAACATTATTATTATCATCATCACCATCATCATCATTATTATTACATTGTATTATTATCATTATTATTATTATTACGATTAAAGAGGAGGAGGGAACTATGTATCAACGTCAGTTTCCAACTGAACACATCAAATGGGTTGGGAGCCTTTGACCTTGACAAGTCCGTAAAACAACCCAAGTTCAAGAACACCCAGTCCAGGATTCGAACCTGGGCCATCCGCTCCGCAGTCCAGAGTGACACCAACTCAGATGTGTATATATATATATATATATATATATATATATATATATATATATATATATATATATATATATATATATATATATATATATATATATATATATATATATATAGTCTTAGTGCGAGTTTTACGGCATTTGCAACATAAATAGGCCTAGTTCACAATTTTTTTTAAGTTAGTGTTTTACGGCACTTGCAACACAATAAGGTCATATAAGTGCTGAAGATTAGAGGTGTTACAAGAGAGTCAAACTCAAAAGAGAAGGAGGAGAGATACGGACGATAGATGTTTGATTGGAAAGAAGAAGCAAACCACACCAGAGCACCCGCCAACCACCCACTTAGTAAGAGTGTTACGGCACTTAAAACGTAAATAGTTCACAATATAAATTACCAAGATTAGAGATGTTACTTCTAGAGAGTAAAATACAAAGAAAAAGAGGAAGGATAAGGACCACAGAAGCAGATGTTTGATAGGAAAGATAGAGTAACCCACATGATCAGAATGCTCGCCAACCAAACAACCCCCCCCCCCTCCCCCAAACACCTCTCTGTTCGTACATCATTATCATTTATTATTGTGACTTCGCACATCAGTGTTTGATGTTTGTTTGTTTTTGGTAAGGTTTTACAGCGCTCGCAACTGCATTATTATAAGGTCATACGAGCGCCAAGGGATGGATGTCAACAGAGCAGTCCAAACGGTGAATAAGGCTTACTCTGCGCACCTCTCTAGCCTCAACAACACAAAGTTTGCTTCAACTATCAAGGCACCCCGGAAATACTGGGTCACAAGAGAGTGACAAACATTCAAAAGAAGCAGAGGGAAAATGACGATAGTTAAGGATGAGGAAAGAAAATTTAGCTGTTCCCCCTTCGTTGTTCCAGCACAGTATGAGCATGACATTGATAAATCAGCTCATTTACAATTCTTCTGTGCATAAGAACATGCTAAAATCGCCCGTTTGGGAATGGCCTAAAGGCAACTTCAGCCAGTAGCGCTGAGTTTGTTGTTTGAGGATGTCCCAAAGTTGAGACGGAACAACTCAGAGAAGCAGGATGAGCTTAGTGTGTGGTGTGGTAAGTAGCACAAGGGGCTCTGATAAGAACATTCAAAAATACGGAGTGGTGGACGTATTGCGGATGAGTCACTATAATGGGAAATGTAAGTAGGCCGAAGTAGGTGTACGGGTTTAAAACCCCTATCAACATTATTGCGTTATTTACGAGGAGGGATAAGAAAGAAATGTGCGATTTTAGTTTAGTTTTAGTACATGTAAAAGTTTTACGCCATTTGCAACATACTAAGGTCATATTATACATGAAAATGCGGAAGATTAGAGGTGTTACAGAGTAAAAAATACTATTGAAAAAAAAAAGAAAAGAAAACTACACGAGAGGACACGCCAACTGCCCGCATGTGTGACTTCTGGTTTTAGTTACAACTTTATGGCACTAGCAGCACAAACAGGTGGCATAAGTGCCAAATAAAGATTAAAGGATTCACTACAAGAGAATTGCATACAATGAAAACAAGAACGAGGACAGCTAGAATCTAGTACAGGCCAAGGACGACAACAGAGAAGTTTGATCGGAAAAAAGGAGTAAATCACGGGGGCTGCCCAGTTTGTCACAGGCTCAGTTCGTCACAGGCCCAGTCTGTCACAATTTCATTTAAGTAGACCCTATTTGAGCATTGATGACAGTCATAATTACGGCACTTCAACACGGTAGTTGTATCTTAAGTATTTTTTATTCTCCACCTTCAAATTGGCGGTGTAGAGAGAGTCCCTCTAAAATTTCAATTCAGCTTGTTCAATATTTCTTCCTTTTTGCATGCAAATCAAAGCAATCTTACAATACTCTGTAAAATTTTAACAATGAACGTTCTTTTGTTAAAAACAATTGAAAACTAAAATTCAATTCATACAGTCAATCAGTCATGAAACTACTCTTTTTAAGAGTGTCAGTGATAAATTCCATCATACAGGGCACAGTCGAGGCCTGTGACAAGATGGGCCTATGACAAACTGGGCCTGTGACAAATTGGCGCCATGGCATGCTTCCACTACACCACACCAGAGCACCCGCCAACACCACCGGCAGAGAACAACTCGGTTAAGTAGGCAACCAGACGTCAATAGCACAAATGGCCCTGATAAAAGGAGACTTGGATAAGGGGTGGCCATACTTTTGATAGGTCACAATAAAAATAAAGATGTGATTATGAGTGTGTTGACTGATACAACACAATAAATGCAACGTACGTGGCTCTTGTGGTCTAGAGTTTACGGTTTTACCTCTCATTCAATAGGTCCCGGGTTCGAAACCTGACAGCCGCGGAACACTTTCTTCTCTAAAATGTATTTTTTCCTTTCCTGCTCTTTTAACCATGTTCTGTTGTCTGCTTTCGTCTCAACTTTCTGCCCCCCCTCCCCTTTGTTTCCTCCTCTGGGCTCTTAACTCTTTCTGCAGCCTTCCAACTGCTACTCCTTGGCTCCTTATTAATGCTGTCTTTCAGCCACACCCCTGATCTTATGGTAGGTAAGACCTACACCTAGCCCTCTAGGATAAAGGCAAAAAATCTCGGAGGTCCCGTGTGCAAGTTGCACACGTTAAAGACCTCTTGATGGTCCTAAAATCGATAGAGTATTAAGAGTAGGCTTCGACCGCCACCCGGGTAAAATTCAAAATTCCTACCAAAGCGAAAATGTTTAAAGTGTTCCAGGCGCTCATACTCAAATGACCTTAGGCAGTTGCGAGCGCCGTAAAACTTACACACACACACACACACACACACACACACACACACGCGCGCGCGCGCGCGCGCGCACGGACGAGCACACAAACAAATACAATTTACGCACAACGCCATTAGCACATTTCTTAAAATAGCCGCACCTTGTGACTTCTCCAGGATACTCACCAGCACGGCTAGCCGTCGTGAACTCTCAACTCGACGAAACAGTTCTGCTATTTTAAGCGTATTCACAAATTCCCTGCAGGCTATATTTAGATCCGCTTTTGGGGACAACATCAGGTGACTATGATTCGGTCCCAACTATCGCCGCTATGTATAAGCGCGTTGAGGTAGCATACGTGCAACATAGGCTCTATCGAACGCACAGCGAGACATCAGTTTAATCAGGACCAAAGTAGGATAACACCAACCGATCATAATATTATAGCCTATAAATTGTAATAAATATCTGATACTTGTTTAAGACAAAAATCTTGGAAACAGGTTTGTTAATAGGTAGTGGAAAAGGCTATAGCGGGTCGGTCAGTACGACAGCGACCATATTTCGCCAGGAACAGTGATATAAAGGATAAAGGGACGTCGAAAAGACCTCACAGAAGGAAGCAGACCACACCAGCGCGTCAACGAAGTATCTGCCTCTCTCGACAAACGTTCATGATGGCTCTTCCCACAGACACCCTAAAGTACCCTCTGCCGGCGGACCAACCTTTGGGTAAGAAGACACGTTTTAGAGAGAGCAAAACCGTATCGACCATTATCTCTCTGTTTGTGTCAGTCTGTCTGTCTGTTTGTCTGTCGCTCTCTTTCTCTTTTTTATTCTCTCTATATATCTCACTTCTTCCTCGCAACTCCCCCACTCTC